AGCACAAAACAGTATGTGTATCGTACCATGCAAATCTTTAAACTTGAGAACGATGAAATAGGACTGAGATGCGCTAGCGAGTCGTTGAATGATCATAATCAAATTTACCTGAACGGTAGCAGTACGGTAATATCGCTTTTTTCCAGACGAGATATTCAGCTCATGGAACATGGAAGCCTTTGCTAGTAGCGCACTGCCATCTGCAAAAGGATCAGATTCAGGCATTCAAAAGCAATTTGTTGCCTTCAAAATTTCTTACCTTTTGTAAGGCTCTGTAATTTTGCAAAGTCAATAAAGTATTCGCAAGTTAAATTTATTACCATGAGGAAGGTCTCCAATGTTTGCTTCTAAACATAACGATTCCACAAAGTTATGTCAAACGAAACTTACATGGTATGGATAATGGTAATTTTCACACAACTTCGTAGGAGAGTTGCTGGGGCCATTTGGCAGCACCACTTTTATCTCTGAAAGCATAGCATAGACAGCTTTCAATGTAATAGAATCACAAATGGTTGAATCGCTGAGCAAAGATGAAAATGCTGAACATGTTTGCCTCACTATTTTTCCTAAAGGTAGTTTTTCTTGAGAGACTCTAGGAAAAAAGGCAATGGAAGAAAAACGTTTTGCGGGAGCACGTTCTTGGATTTGCCATGGTCTGCACTGACTGATAGTTGATCCTTGTACCCATCGTATTGATCAGCTAGACTACCACAGAAACTTACTGACACAAAATTTGGGAATGGTTCTGTAATTAAGCACTCCCAAGTAGATGAGTAAGAATTAGTTAGTTGATCAGTACCCTAATACAAGTCAGATTTTCATATGTCCGCAATTCGCAACATAAAAACGGATTTTCTCAATTTGGGTGTGTTGATGAACGAAAGTTGTCCACGTAACTTACTAATGCAGATGAATTATTCTCATTCCTTAGAAATCAGATTGTCTAGTACTTTCAAATATTTTCGCTGGTCAGTTTTATGCTCTTGAAGAAAACAAGCTTTTTATGCTTGTATTGAGAGAAGCTCTTCGTAAAAATTTTACGCTTCTTCGACTTTTGCGAAATTATGCCCTTGGAGGCAGCGTCAAAGCAAAATCTATGCTCCCATGCTTCCTGATACCTAGTCTACAAGAAAGCCTTAGGAGTAGGACGTTTGCGTTGGTCCGGTCCTCTAATGTGGCGTCTGAATCGAAAAAATGGACCTGGAATTCGCAAAATATGTATCAAGCCACGCCCGCCCTTTCAAGCTCCGCCCACCCAGGTACTAAAATATTGTGTTATGGTAGGACTCCCAGAAAATGGGTTTTTTCGGGGGTGCACATTTCGCACTTCATATCTATAATCAGTGCTGCGGAATGGCCCCAGAATGACAAAAACATGAAAAACGAAGCTTAGGATGG